AGAGAAGAAGGAGGAATGATGGGATTGGGAAGGATGGAGGAAGGGAGCTACAGGTGAGATACAAAGTGAATAAACTGTAATTAATAAAAATTAAAAAATAGAAAAAAAAAAAAAGAGTGAGTTCCAGGACAGCCAAGGCTACACAGAGAGACCCCATAAAAAAAAAAAAGTGTGTGTGCTCTCACATGTGCCTGTGCCCACAATTGTATGTGTGCACACATGTAAATCACAGAGAGGGTAATGAAATACATGTACTGGAAAGCAGAAGGGGGAACTAACAGGAAAAGAGAATCAGTTGAATCGGCAGAGGAAGACAGTTAAGGAGACAAATACATGGCAACAATGTACAGTAACACAAATGCATGACGATACCATAACAAAATATATTAATTTTTTTAATTATCATTATTTTCCAAGAATACTTTTCTAGGACACAAGAGATGGCTCAGCAGATGAAGCACTTGCTCCCCAGCCTGGTAATCTCAGTTCTATTCACAGGACCCACAATGATGGAAGGACAGAACTAACTCTTGTAAGCTGGCTTCTGACCTACATACAATGCACACAAAAAAAAAATTAAATGTAATAATTGATTTTTTAAAATGTTTTTCTTCTTCCCTCCCCCACCTTTTTCCTTCTTCCTGAAAGTGTTCCTAAGCAGTTCCACATTCACTCTGAGTATGGCTACAATCAGAAGTTACACTTATTCAATGGAAGAAGTTCAAAAGATAGAGCATGCAAGAAAACCTAGCAGCTTTCACCACATTCTTTTCTAACATGTAGCTTTATTTTATGTACATGGGAGTTTTGCCTGCAGATATGTCCGAGCCCCACATGTGTGCCTGTGGAGGCCAGTAGAGGGCATTGGAACCCCTAAAATGGGAGTTACAGATACCTGTGTGTCACCGTGTAGGTGCTAGGAATTGATCCCTTTGGAAGGGCATGTAGTACTCTTAACCACTGAGCCATTTCTGACGCCCGCAGTACCATTTGTAATGACAATATAATCTTCACCTTTCTTTGAAAGAATTCCAACAAATATTTATAGACATTTTATCTGCAATCAGCTTCCTGGTACAATATAAAGAGTTTTCCAATTCTCATTTTATTTTCTGTCCAGATTATACTATATCTTCCCTAAGAAATATCCTTGCAAAAATGTCTTAACTTGATTCTAACCTGTAATGGTTTTCTTTTCCCTAACTTCAAGTTTATGGGAATTAGATGAAATGTAAAACAAACAAATAAACCAAAAATGTTACAAAACATGACAAGGTGAGTGTCTTAAAAGCCATAATTTCTTTAAAAGTTAATAGAAAACAAAACAAATGCAATATAAGGTGATACAGAATGAAGAAACAGCACAAAGTTGTTTAAAATAAAGATTTCACCCAGGCATAATGGCTCATGGCTGCAATCCCTGTCCTGGGGAGGCAGAAGCAGGAGGAATGTTACAAGTTCAAGACCAGCCAGGGCTATATATATCAAGACCTTGTCTCAAAAAATTATTTATTATTATTATTATTATTATTATTATTATTATTATTATTATTATTACTTTGTGGGGTTTTTTGAGACATGGTTTCTCCACAAAGCCCTAGCTGTCCTGGACTCATTCTATAAACCAAGCTAGCCTGAAACTCAGAGTTCCGCCTGCCTCTGCCTCTTCAGTTCTGGGATTAAAGGCATGTGCCACAATGCTCAGCTACAAAACAACTCTTTTTTATTTGAAATAAAGAGAATAAAATATTTAAAAATAATGAGAAACTCTAAGAACGACACAGTTTCATCAAGTCAATAATAAAAGGACAAGGAGGTAACAAGGGCAGTATAGCTTTGATGGTTAACATTAACTGTCTACTTGACAAAACCAAAAATCACCTGAGAAGAGTCTCAGCGAGAGAATGTTCATAGTGGACTGGCGTGTGGGTGACAGAGGTCTCCCACAAGTTCATCAGTCTCATTTTTTATGTGATATGATATATGTAAAACATACCATTTTAAACAGTTTAGTGGCTGTTTTTACTCTCATGCACTTAATCACCACCACGTATTCCTAGAACTTCTTATCCTAATAAAATGAAACCTGTAGCCCTTAGCAACTTATCCTACTTTTTGTCTGAGAATTTGACAACTCAGGGTAACGTAAGTGGAATCATTCAGCATGTCTTTTGTGAGTAGCTCCATTGACTAACATATCTTAAAGACTGACCTGTGCTGTAAAAGTATCAAATCTGCTTCCTTTGCAGACTGAATTGTGCCCAGAGGCTTATACACATTACATCTTGTTTACCTACTCACCCATCAATAAACTTCAAATTGCTTAACAAGTCCACTTCTTGACTTGTTAAGAAACCTTTACTTGTGTTCCTTCTTTCAGTTTTTTCCCCCCTGTGGTAGGATAGATTGCCTCAGTTGTAAAACCTGAATTCCTATGAGATTACAGCTGGCTTTGTTCAACAGAATGTTTGCTGAGACTGCATGTCTCCCATGATAGTCTGTCCTTCCTGACACAAACAATTTCAGAAAGGACAGACCACAGAACCACATGTAGCTCCCACAGCTGCAACAAACCCCTCACCTGCCCCTATAGAGGTTCCAGCCAGATTTTTCCCTTTGAGGACCCTCCATTCCCATGGGAAGAGGTTATCCTTTGCTGTGTATCCTAATAAATGCAATCATGTATTGAGACCAGACTCTGTTCTCTTCTCTTTCTGCTTTCAGTCTCTTTACTGTGTGCTCCAAAATCAAAGGGCTCATGGCAGAAGTAGAACTGCAGGTCACAAGTTAACTCTGATTTTTTTTTTTAACCACTAAACTATTTTCCACAGACACTGAAACATGTGAATACCAACAGCAATGCAAAGGAGTTTCTGTGTCTTCCATTGTTATCAACATCTGTTATTTGCTACTTTTGACACAGTCACCCTAAGGGGCACAAAGCTCAGGTTCTGATTTGCATCCTCTACTAACTACCAATGTTGGGCAGCTCTTCCTGTACTTTCTATGTGCACATCTTCTCTGGAGAAATATCGACTCATCTCATTTTTAACCAAACTGTTTTGTTGTTGTTGAACTACAGGGGTGTTGACGCTCTTTGAATAAACTTTATCTAACATATGACTGGAAAATATTTTTTTTTCTCCCATCTGGTGTATTACCTTTTTACTAATGTAAAAAGTAGAAAAGTCCTCAATGCCCAAACACTCAATTTTCATGGAACCCAACTCATCTATTTTTTATTTTGTTATCTGTGCTTTTAGTGTCCTTATGTAAGAAACCCAGTTTTCCCTGATTTCTTTATATAATACTTCTATGTTCCGGTCTTGAACACATTTTTTAGTTAGTTTTTACATTAAATAATAATATAAGTTATGAGCCCAACACATATTTGGAAAACACCTTCTTGATCAAGATTGACAAGTGATATTGCATGTGGTTATTCCTAAACATCTTACAAGTCAAAGGACAATGTATAGGTCAAACTAGACAAGAAGAAAATGCAGGAGTAGAAATGCTAACAAAAAACATACTTCATAGTTCTCTCAATGCTGCTATTGTCAACTGTGTCACAGGCTGTCAACCCAGCAATGACCCACACAGAAAACAAGAAATGAACAATTGACAATGAAACTTTTCCATGGATATTGAAATCTTGAGCACTAGGGAAACAGTAGAAAATTCTGGTTTTCTTGGTTATCAAAATAAGCCGCGTACTTCAAAGTGTCAGTCTCCTAAAGCAGCATGTTTAATTTTCACGATTGTTCACACAAATGTCAATCCTATCACTATGACATTGAAAGAAAGCTTGACTTTATGCTAAATTTTGTGTTAAGAATCTGATATGAATGTTTTTCCTTCTAATCCTGTATGCAACCTTTAAAATAGAGAAAGTGATTCCTACTGTCACTCCAGCTCCCCTATGTTAGGGGACTGAACGTCTACTACATGTACCGTTCTACTACATGAACATCTACTGAGATCAACTGACTGAAAAATGAACAAATTTGCTTACTTATCATGCCTACGTCCATCACTCATTTTTAAACTTTTGTGCAGTTCTTAGAAGGAAAACAATAATATGGTCAGTCATCTACAGAGAGTCTGAGTACACAAACATGAAATCTTTTATACTGTTAGCTGGGGCGGTCACACCCCACATCAAGTTACATCATTGCCATTGTTACAACCTGTTTCTTTATTTTTTAATTACATGTATGTGGGAAAGGTGCACATGAGAATAGGTAGAGGCAGAGGCCAAAGGCATGAGATCCTCATGGAGCTAGAGTTACGGGGAAATTACCAGCCACAGGATGAGAATGCACTGAACAGCTAGTCCCCACCAAGACCCTCCCTGTAATCTGCTGTTCCACAATGTCCCCACAGCTACATTCTTAACCTTCTTTTCTAGATGCCAGACTCACCTCTGGCAAGTGTTTACAGTCAGTTTACACATCTACCATGACTCATTCCTTTAATCTCCTGCTTTTGAAATGATCATTGCGTCCATCATAATTTTTGATTCTTATTTTTGTGTCGTGTTCTTACTTGCTGAAAAAATATGTATTTCTCAAAGACATCAATGTTTATTTTACAGATATGTAAACAGTGCCTGACAAAAATTAAATGCTTAACTTCTGTAAAAACGAATGCACATACCACTTCTCTTTACACTGACTTTAATGAAACTTCTAAATGTAACTGTTAACTGCTCTTTAAAATGTCTTAACACTTTTACATTAAAACTGTCTTATTCAAGGCTCAGTAGGAAAACATCTGCCTACCTACCACGAGCCTCAAAGAGGCACTGAATCCCCAGCACCACCAAAAACAAAAACCCTGTTTCCACTAAAGGCAGGTGTGGTGTTTTGAACAGTAGTCCCGGCCACTCAATGGAATTCAAGACCAGCCTAGGCAACACAGTGAGACACTGTCTCAAAAAGATTTTTAAATGAAAAATGTCTTATGCATATATTAAAAATATACATAAATATACATACATTGAATACTATGGGGCTGGAGAGATGGCTCAGCAGTTAAAAGCAGCTGTTGATCTTGCAGAGGACCCAGGTTTGGACCCCAGCATCCATGTCAGGTGGCTCACAACCGTCTTCCGGCTTCCCTCTTCTGGTCTTTGAAGGTACCTGCACACATGTGGTACACATATGTACACTCTGTCACACACACAGACATATAAAATAAATAATTCTTCAAACATAGCGATAAAATAATCTGAAAATACATGTTAATTCTGGGTGGTGGGTCTTCACATCACCTTTGGTTTGTTCTTCATACCTAGCTACTTGTTTTAGAGTAAAAAAAATTCTAAAGTGTATCAATTTATATGGCATATTCTAAAGACTAAACTACACATAAACCTTAATAAACCTGTCCCACCTATTCAAGAGTTTTATCTGTATACTGTTGTTGTACAATATAGAAAACAATTTAAATAAGCAAGCAACAAAGCTTGTAGTTCACAAGTCTACTCAATATTTAGAGGAGATAAAGTTAGTTCTTGTTAAGTAAAATGTACAATTAATAAATAATGATTTATGGCCCAGCATGACAGTGCCCCCTTTAATTCCAGCACTCAGGAGACAGAACAGGTCGATCTCTGTGAGTCTGAGACCTTCTTGGTCTACATAGAGAGTTCTAGGACATCCAAGGCTACATAATAGACTTTGTCTCAAAAAAAAAAATCAAAATAATATTGATGGTGGTAGTGGTGAGGAGGGTGGTGGTGGTGATGATGATGATGATGATGATGATGATGATGATGATTCAGACATGTAGCTGCTGGTAGGTTGGCTATTCTCCATGGAGGCCCTGCACCCAAGCACATGCAGGCATTTATTGGAATTTACACATAATTCCATTAGTTGGAGTTTGCAAAAAGAAAAGGACATGAAGTTGGGAAAAGGACCTGTAGGGGGAGTTCTAAGGAGAATATAAAGGAGGCTTTGTGTGAATATAATCAAGATTGTACACATGTATGAAACTGTCAATAAACAAAAATATTTTACTATTTTTAAAAACAAAAAAGGGCAGGTCTTTGGAAAATAGATTTTTTTTTTCAATAAAAACATACACACAAAATATTCCTTTTTAACAATTACGTATTTTTATGTGTCTGTGTGAGTCCTTGCCTATATGTATGTGAACCATATACATGCTGCTGTCGCCCACCAAGGCCAGAAGTCCTGGAACTGGAGTTACAGGCTATGACAGGGTTGAATGAGATGCTCCTCACAGTCCTGGGCATTTTAACCCCACTGTTTGGGGAGGTTTAGGCAGGGCAGCCTTGCTCGTCACTGGATGCAGGCTTTGAAAGCCTTGTGCCACTCCCAGTCTATCCTCTGCTTTCGGGCTGCAGTGGAAGATAGGAGGTCTCAGCTTCCTGCTCTTGGGGCCTGCCACTGCAGCTATGCTTTCCTCCAGAGTAGATTCTCATCCCTCTGGAATCCTAAGTCAAATAAACCCTTCCTTCTACAGGTTGCTTCTGATCAAGATGTTTTATCACAGCAATAGAAAAGGAACTAATACACTAGCAGGTGTAAGCTATTATACAGATGAGTATTATACAGATGGGTACAAGGAACTAAATCTTGGTCCTCTGTAAGTGCACACCTGCTGAGCCACTTCCCCAGCTCTACTCCCTAAATAGTCTATCATAGACAGTAGTTCTAACAGGTACTGTGGGATACCTATAGTCTCAGAAGTTGGTAGACAGAGGCGGGTGAGGTCTGTGAGTTCTAGCCAGCCTGGTCTACACAGCAAGCTCCAGGCTAGCTAAGACTACATACTAAGACCCTGTCTCAAAAAACAAAAGGAAAAGAAGAAAGCAATATAGACAGATAGCTGAGTTAAGATTCCATGTTAGCAATGAATTCTTAGAAATGATGAATAAAAGAACATGAATAAACATAAATTCAGCTTCCTCAAAATTGAAAACACCTATGTATCAAAGAACATTATTAAGATAAAGAGACCACACACAAAAGAAAAAAAAATCTGTATTATCATTTATCTGATAAGGATCTCATATCCAAAGTACAGAAAGAAGCTGGAGAGATAGCCCAATCATTAAAACTACTTATTGCTCTTTCAAAGAACCAAAGTTCATTTTCAGGTTCCCAGCATCTACCTCAGACCACTCACCACAACCTGTAACTGCAGCTCGAGGATCCAACAACCACTTCCAGCCTCCAAGAGCAGCAACACACACACACAAGACACACAAAAATAAAAAACAAAATAAATCTTTTTTAGTTGGTTGGTTGGTTGATTGGTTAAACTGTATTTTGGTTTGGGTTTTTTGGTTTTTTGGTTTTTGGTTGGGTTTTTGTGTGTGTGTGTGTGTAGGGTTGGTTTTTGAGACAGGATTTCTCTGTGTAGCCGTGGCTGTCCTGGAACTCACTTTATAGATCAAGCTGGCCTGGAACTCAGAGATCCACCTGCCTTTGCCTCCAGAGTACTGGCATGAAAGATGTATGGCACTACTGCCCAGCCAAATAAACTACTTTTTAAAAGAGGAAGGGTGGGACGGGAAGGGGAGGAAGGGGAGGTTTACAGGAGGATACAAAGTGAATAAAGTGTAATTAATAAAAATTAAAATAAAAAAGGGAAAAAAATCAATTATCAGAAAGACATTTTTTTTAAAGAGGCAAAGAACATAATAAACAAGTCTTCAAAAAATATGTAAATGGAAACAAATGTATGAAAAATATTCAAAGTCATTCATATCAGGAAAACACAAATCAAAAACATGAGTAGGACTGGGCATAGTGGTGCATAGCTTTAATTCCAGCACTTGGGAAGCTGACAGAACTCTACAATTTCAAGGCCAACCTGGTCAACTATGCAAGTTCCAGGCATAGTAAGACCTTGACCCAAACAAACAAACAAACAAACAAACAAAAAAAAATAGGTACCACTTTACACTCACAAGGGTTACAATAATATATTTTTTTGAGACAGAAAAATAGGAAGCTAGAGAAGGATCAGGAGATAAAGTGCCTGTCACACAAATATGAGGAACTAAGTTCAGATACACAGCACTCAGAAAGTTAGCCATGGTGGTGCACAACTATCTCCCCAGTGCTGAGGAGACAGGAAGAGGAGGACCCTGGAGCTTACTGTCCAGGTGGCTTCCTTAACCAGCAAGCCACATGTTAGTAAGAGGCTGCCTCAATATTAATGTAGAAAGAGACTAAGGAAGGCACTCACCCCCACACATACATGCACAGGTAGAAACCACAGACATACACACACCAAAATGGAGGGAGGGAGGGAAAAAGAGAGGGAGAGAGCGAGGGAGGGAGAGACGGAGGGAGGGAGGAAGGGAGGGAGGAAGGGTTACAAAGATGTAAAGAAATTAGCAACCTCACACATTGCCAATGCAAATCCTTATTTAACAGAAATACTACACACAACAGGTAGAGTTGAAACAATCCAAATATCCATCAATGACTGAATTGTTTGTGTTTGTAAAGGAATATTATACAGCAGTAAAAAGTGCTGGTACATGTTACTATATGTCACTAAGTGAAGGAAGCCAGGCATAAACAATCATATAACATTTGATTCCATATAAAATACCCAGAGTGAGTAAATACATAGAAAGAGAAAATAATTAGTAGTTGATATGGCTAAGGGCATTAGGAAATAAAGATAAGTAACTGCTAACAGTATAGGATTTTTATTTTGCATGAGGAAAACGTCTTAAAACTAAACAAAAATGGTGGCAGGCAAAACTGAAAATATGCAAAATGCCACTGAATTGTTAAATCTTAAAGTGGCAATTTTTGGAGTGTGGGGACATTGCGGGTGTGTGGTGTGCGCATGTGAGTGTGCTGATATGCAACATATGCACACATATGTGGAGGCGGCACAGGAAAAGGAATGTGTTCCTCCATCCCTCTATGACTTACTGCCTTAACACAGGGTGTCTCACTGAAGCAGAAGTTTACCCTTTCAGCTAGAGTGGCCAGCCAGCGAGCTCTCAGTATCCGCTTGCTATTCACAGCCTTGCTCAGCTTTTTACATGGATGCTACTACACATTAGAACTCAGGTCCTCATGTTGCAGGGCAAGTGCTCTTACCCACTATGCCACCTTCCCAGTTCCTAAGAGCTTAATTTTGTTAAGTGAATATAATTTTTTAAAAAAATCAATTAGCATTTATAATTTATAAGTATATAATGCTTTCTTTGTAAAAGTCAAACATGAAAATTACAAGAACAGTGGCCAGATAATCTTGAACATTAATGAGATGTTTTATATAAGAAAAGCTGAAAAAAAAAAAAAGAAAAGCTGAAGTTCAGTGTCTGCTTTCTCTCTCAGAGCTTCACTCAGAAATATTCATCTCTCATCAGCGCAACAGAATTTTTCCCCAGAGAAATTCACTCCCTCTGCAAAGTTTAAGTGGCTATTTCAATCATTAGAAGCTGAACTTAAACTAGACATCACTTACATAATGAAACATTAACACATTTCTAATTTCCTTAGAAGTTATTTTAAATCAAATTCTTTACCCAGCCAGAAGTCCTTATATATTAGTAAACAAAATTATCCCCAAATTTGTTGCTATTTTAATTATGTAAATGTGGCTATATATATTTACATGTTTAAATGTGTGGATGTTTCATAATTATCAGCACTCTAAAAATAAAAACAAGATTTTGCAGTTAAAAGACTGATTTCCCCAAGAAGGTCTATGATCATTACTGAAATAGTATAAATGTCTTCTAGTCTCAGCTTCTTGTAAGAGAAAGGGAAAATTACACATAAAAATGTCTCAACAAGAGTAAAAGGGGTATAAGAGAGAATAATAGTAAATGAACCTGATCATTAATAAACATAAATAAAAATATCATAATGAAACCTACCATTATGTATAATTAATAGAGATTGGGGAAAAAAAGGAAAAATGTCTGATCGTATCATTTTCTGTGTAAAATTCTCTAACAGATTCACATGGATGTCAAAATACAGTTTGTATCCAGCTTGTGATTCAGCCCAGGAGCTCTACATACACACTTGTTCTCTCTTAACTCAGTCCCTGCCATCCTCCATGCTCTCTCTTCTCTTGTACCTCAATAAACTCTGTCTGCTCCTAGCCTCCCATTCTGTTCTTTGTCTGTACCAACCACAAGATGGTACGAACTGTTCAT